AATTATATGGAGACCTACGGAAATCACAGCTACCCCCTGGGAACTAGCTCAGCATTACAGGGGTCAGAGGGCGGCCTGTTCATAACACTGCCATGAAAACAGCAAGCAAGGAGAAGCAATGGTAGCAGATAAGCCAATATGCAAGGGCTCCCTTGCTCCTCCTTTGAAGTGGGAGGTGAGAATGAGACCTGGAGACAATTCCTTGTCGGAACTTCACAGGTTCACTCAGGACCGTGAATGGTCTCAGCCACAGACCTTGCACCAAGCAGAAAGAGCAGAGCCCTTTGAAATGGAGGTAAGGCACCAAGGAGGCAGCCTTGCCTTGCAGCCTCTAACACAGGGGTGGCCACTCTGTGCCATGTATGCCAGAAGTGGCAAAGGCAGCCTTAGTGTGGCACACAGCAGATCAGGGTAGGAACAGGCAGCGCAGCAGCAGACAGGATGGGGAGCAGAAAGCAGAGTGGCAGATTAGGCAGGGAGTTTAAAGCAGAGCAGCAGATCGGAGAGAGGAAGAGGATTGGAGTGGTACATGGAGGGTGCAGGCTGATTTGTGGCCTGCTTGCCAAAATCCTGGCCCCAACCACTGGAAAGTTAAGCAAACTGCATCAGCTGTGGCTGGAGACCGCTGGCTGGGGCGAGGGCCGGAGCTGTGGTGGCCTAAGTCCTGAGCCAGGCCAGGAGCACTGGTGAAAGCTCTGAGCGCTCAGTGCTCCAGGTTACACCTCAGTGTGGGATCCTCATGCAGGGTCCAGGACCTTGAACCCTGCCCCGAGAAGCAGTTCCAGTCTGTCTCCTTGCCCAAACAAGCCCTGAATCCCACCTGCCCCTCTGAGCCATGGTGAGGAGGCACCCCTCGCCAGCACCCCTCATTCAAAATGCCTACCCTCCATGGGCTGCCATTGCCCCCCGTGCAAATGTGGACCGCCACCTTCTGTGCTTTTCAACCGAAGAGAAGCCATGCCCACAGGAAAACTGGCTGCCATTCTATGGTCCTGGGACAAGAGAGGACACTCCTGGCAGGGCCTGGAAGTAAATAGAGGTGCTGTGGGAGGTGCGAGGCTCAGGGCAGGCTGGAATAGTGGAAGGAGGGCAAGGGGCCTGCATGTGGGGGCAGGATGAAGGGTAGGGCAAGTGCTGCAGGCAGAACCAGGCATAGGAAAAATGGTGCCTCCCCCCCTCCCCTGGCAAGTCAGTGGCATTGCTGCAGGCAGAGGCAGGCGGGCTGGGGTGTGGGACACAGTCCAGCAGGGAGGCAGAGTGGCATGGTTTGCCATGCAGGTGGGTGGGCAGGCACCGCTGCTGAGCTGAGCAGCTGCTGGAGGGGAGGGGTGGGTTGGGCAGGGCACCAAACCTCCTGCCTGGGGTAGGGATGAGCTGGGGCATGGCAGGGCAGGGGGAGAGCACTGCTGTGAGCGTGGACTGCTCCCATGTGTGTGTATGTGTGTGTGGTGCCCCTCTGACCATAGTGCCCTGGGTGGTTACCCACATTGCCTACCCCTAAGGCTGGCTCTGGCTGCTGGTGATGTTTTAAGACGACTGATGCTGAGGCCCCAAGACTCAAAGGTTTTGCACTTTGGGATCAGGCTGCACCCCCCTAAGACCTCACAATCCAGAAAGTAAGTGGGGCCTCACAGATACCATGTATTTATGTGAGAAGCAAGGATTTCTTAGGGTGGTATCTTTTATTGAACCAGCTGTATAACTGGGATAAAGTTAGATAAGCTATTGAATGGAAGACATTCTGGCCTTTGCAAAACCTGATTTGGCTGGGGAAGGAGCTTCCATCGTTTCCCTTAGAAAGCTGTTCCCTAGGTCTTCAGTCTTCCCACTGGGAAACGTATCCTAGTCCCAGTTTCAGCCTGTGGTTTCCACTGCTTGGTTCCAAGAGCAGCAGCATCAGAATAAAGCCTGCTTGTTGATTCTGCTTGACTCCCCTGAGAGGTGAATCAGCTGCGTGGGGCCTTCTCTAAAGAAAACACACACTTTGCATTCTCTTCCACAGTCACTGCTGGGACATAATAAAAGTGTAATTTGCTGGATATAGTCGCAGAATGACTGAAATGTATTGCCTGCATGCAGTCACCTGACCTGGGTCAATGCTAGAGGCCACTGCCCCTGTTCTATGGCAGGACAGGATCTATTAACAGTAGGGATTAATGCTAAAATATGCCAGAGCTTGGATAGAACAATGACAAGTCCCTGAGAAATTCCAGGCATGGATGGATAGAAAAATGGATAAATTATAATCCTTTTGGCCCCTCTTTCTGGCTGGGGGTCTGTCCAGTTGTGGTGCAGAGTCTCACAGCTCCTCAAAGAAGTTGCTGAATTTGCCTTAGGAAACCCTTCTTTATAGGAATGGATTTAAACTCAGTGACTCATACTGTGGAAGGAGAATATGAAGAAACTCCTGCATATGGCAGTGATTACAACTAACTGGTTTAAATTACTTGGCCTGCAGCTGGCAAGCTTAAAGTCACAGCATCTTCAAGCCACATTCTGCTTCCTGTCTGTTCTGGAAAGTGTATTGCAATTCATGCTGTAATCCACTGCTTGTTAGCTCAGAGCAATGCTGCAGGGGATGAAACAGGAAGGATCACACTTGTAAGAACCCAGGGGGAGGAGCGGGGAGAGGAAGGATAAGGAGGCAAAATGTGGGCTCAAGTATTTCACTCGGTTGTCAAAACACAGCCTTGGCAGCTGGAGAGGAGGGAAATATGAGCAGGATCTGTTTTGTTAAACTGATTTAAAATGAAAGCCTTGAATAGGGATTCACTTGAACCCAAGTATCAAAGGCTAGAGATCTTTGTAGTGTTCCTAAGATATACATGCTGCTCCCCAGTATTGCCCTTTACCCGTAGGGCCTGTCAGGGATCATTTGCAGCTTTTTCACAGTTACAGTTATAAAAGAGAAAAGAAAAGCGGAATAGCTGGATTTTGCTCCAAAGCCCAATAGCTTGGTAGGTCCTCCAGGCTTTTACTTTTGACTTCTGCTCTTTTTTTTCTTGCAATCTTGAGGAAACTCTCAGTTCACAAAGAGGTAGGAGGACCTGGAAAGCATTCTGGCCTGTTCTTCTGCTTCTAGAAATCTTGGTAAACCCCTGGCATATACTTATGGGACCTTTCCTACAGCTAATACTGTGATTGATCTTGGCCTATTTGAATCCTCCCCACCCTCCCTTGCCCATTGTGAGGGACCTTGAAAAATGGTGCCTCATGGCTGGAGGGAGCCTAATGCAGTCTGTGACCCAGCTACCATTCTTTTATCTTTGCAGTGCTTCAAGGTGTGATATTTCTTGTTACTGTCAAACACCTGCAGTCTCTTTCTTGCAGGCCCTGTCTGTGTTCTCTTTGTGCATCCAGGTTTAAAGTTGGGGTGATTTAACTCAGTTGTACTGCTACAGGCTCATGCACACATAACAGTTACAGCACAAGAGTTGCTCCTGAGCTGCGATTCCCCTTCTGTAACTACTGCAAGGGGACATTTTCCTTAGTTGCTGTTACATATCATGTTTCTGGAGTTAAGTGCTGGGGTACAGTCATGGGCGCTCTCTAGTGGCACTATGGAGGCAGCACCTCAACCAATGTAAATCCTCAAAGTCAGTTTATGATGGTCAGGGATCAGTTCCACGAAGTGTGTAGAAAGTTTAGAAAATATTCTGTCTGGTGAATGTGAGGCCAGCTGTGTTCAAACTGGTGTTTTAAAGGGCCTGAGTATTACTAGATCCAAACAGTCTGCTTGATCACATGTGAGCTGCTCTGGGGTCCCTGTTCACTAGAAGCCCTTTGGTGGATTTGCAAAGTACAGCATCCATAAAGAGTAGCCTAATGGTACATGTAGGTAACCAGAGCTCACGTTGCAGGATCTGTAGGACTGTGGAGACTGCAGTCTTAATGGTTCAAAAAGGGAGCAAGGAAGGGAAATCTGGGTTATCTTCCTCCTCTGGCTCTTGCAGTGCATCTTGTCTTCTTTCTGTCAGTCCCTTAGATTGTGAGTTCTTCAGGGGCAAGGAGTCTTTAATTTTGGTTTGATAAAGTGCCAAGCACACTGCTGGCACGTACCAGTAACAAAACAAGTCAATAAATGTCCATCCATGGATTTCATAAATGCTTATTTAACTAATAGAACATGAAGAGCTTATAATAAAACTCCCAGTTACTTATTAAAGAAACCAGTTTTATTAAAGATAACTTAATGTTCAAGGATATGAACAACATATTAACAATAAATACATAATTCTTCAGGGGAACAGTAAGGAGTGATTTTTTTTTGTTTATATATTCTCCCCCCCCCCGCCCCCGACTTCATTTCTTTGGCCTATGCCATACAACTGCTGGGAACAAATCCTTAGCGTTTCTCATAAAATTTTGTTAAGAAATGGAGAAAGTGGAAAGATTAGAGATGAGGGGAGGAAAGGGAAATGGTGGCCAAGTTTACCAGGGTAAAAAAGAGACATCCTTTCTAATGGCTTGGGGAAATGACATGTTAGTTTTAAACCATTTGTCTATGGCTTTCTTAGAGAGATGGTGCTAAGTTGGTATGTACTTTACTTCTGTCATAACCCAAGGGTATGATTTTGTGTGTGCTTCGGCACTGCAGAATTATTTCCTGCCACGAGGAGCTTTCTTTGCACGGTGCAATTCTCAGTTGCAAAGAGAAAACCCTGGTGCAAAGGAGTTCCCGCCATTCGCATGCAAATTTGTGTCCCACTATTGGCCAGTTCTAAATTATTCCCACGTGGCGGCTAGAGATGGTGCTGCTAGCCCTATAAGAGGCTTGAGCGGTTTCCGCCCAAGTTGGAGAACCCCGCAAGGGAGGACTTCACAACCATCTGGAGGAGGAGAAGGAGGACTTCACATCTTGTGAAGAACTCTAAGCGCTGCGGAGCCTAACAAACCCAGCGTGTGCCTTAAGAAGGATATAGGGGCCTGATCAACCTCTAGCCTCTCCCCGTCGCCGCCTAATCCCTCGACGAACCCTTCCCTGCGCGCTTTTGTTCCACGGAGCCTAGCAAACTTCGTGTGTGTGTATCCAGAGCTCTGCCCGAGTTATTTCAAGAGGCTTGAGTTTTTCTACGGGTCTTGTTTGTACGAGTTTTGTAACTGCAACTTAAGTGAAGTTTTCTCCTGCATGTACCACGACCATCTACGGTGTAAGTAAAATAATCTTTAATCAACCACTACGCGTCCGTGCCTAATTCTAGTCCGCCGGCCTGCATTCCCCGACCCATGTGCCAGGGCTGCTGGCCACAGCCCGCCGCGCACCCCCGAAAGCCTCGGACCGCTCCCGGCCTGCACAACTTCCAGTGAAATTCTCCCTGTGCAGATGTCCTTTCACTGTTGCTAGAAGAGAGGCAAGCTTTGGACTATGTACATAACCAAAGAGCAAGGAAATCCATAGCAGTGGATCACAGTGCTCACCCTATACATTATTCCATGTAACTACCTAACATTTTATTTCAAGGTAGCCTGTTAGTTTTAAGACTAGAATGAGCCATTCAAGTGTCAGCTCATTATTAGGATGGGGTTTCAGCTAAATCCTGTCTGGGTGGGAGGAAGATCCAGGGATTGAAGATGTGAAGAACAGTCAGGCTACAATGACCTAGCCTGTCTTTGATTGCTGATAATCTTCCCTTTTGCGATGGGAGCAGGGATTGTATTTGTGACACAGCAACTTTTAATGGTTCTACTAATTCAAGATGCTTCAGTTAAGGACAGAGGGGAGTGAGGAGTCTGTGAAAAAGCAAGGAGGTGGAATTAAGATATAAGGAAAAGATGGAGGGGGGGGGGAGAGCGGCCCACTGGGAAATGCAACCTTTCTGTTTTTAAAATTACTTCTGTGTTTATAGAAACTGGAGACGGCGACAATGGAAGCACTATAACCCAGAGTACACAGACTTGCCAGTGTACCTGCTTCACTGGATTTATACTGAAGAATGAGGAAGGCTGTGAACTTAAAAACAAGCAAACAGTACAAGTTGTATCTGGAAGAAAATAACAGTTTGTGAGGGTTTCCTTTCCAGTGGTGTAAGCTTCAGTAAATTTTCTTTCCTTGGCTACTGCTAAGTAAGGCAGCTCTTGCTCTCTCTGTATTGCCTGAATTGTGCATTACACTGAACTGGACTGTGTAACCAGATTGGATCCATCTCTTCCAACTAAGCACCTGGCACCAAGTGCAGACATTTTGTTTTCAGTGCCAGAACCTCTGGACTTATTAATCCTCACATGAAGCTTGCTGATGTGTAAAAAAACAAATTTCTGGGCTACCCCTAAGCTTGTCTGGTTATCTGCATCAGAGGCCTTTCCTCCTATCTTCATCCTGAACACAGTTGCAGAGATTTGGTCATTACCTTGTTAACTTCTGTCCTTTCCTTCTGCAGGAAGCACATTACAGGAGCGTAGCTCTTTCCTTTTCAATCAATGTGATCGCCACTGTTCTCAAAAAGGTTTCCCTATAGTGGTGTCTCCTCCAGGCTGGGGTTTGTTGCTGGCTCAATGCAGTCTGTGTTTCCCCTCCCCAGAAAAACCTGAGGGCATGTTGTGGAAGTGTCATCAGTTTGAAACTTGGAGACAATCCTAGCAGTTTCTTGAGTGATCTCAAAATGTCTGAGTTGCTGCTGTTTCCCTCCTGAGCGACGCTGCAGTGTGCTGGTCTCTGGTGAGCTGGTCCTGCTGTTGCTGCCTTTTTTCTCCAGGACTTCCTTTGGCCTGGGGCTGTTGTCTTCCAGATTGCCTGCTGCATCAGCATCGATCGCAGCACTAGACAGAGCAGCAGTCATCAAAGGCAAACTGGGAGGTTTGGGAATGACTGGCTTCACTTTTGCCTGTGTTCGAGCATACTTCACAGGCTGCCGGCTGAAGTGCCCCCTGGCTTGTGTTCCTAGAACAGCATCTGAATCTATATCTGGCTTTTCTTGTAGAGATTCCTCAGGATCCTCCAGCTCGGTGCCAATATTTCTGTTCAATTCTGAACAAAAAATTAGAGAGAGTTATTTTAACATGAGACTCCCATTAGGCCCCAGGTTTGAGGCCTGGTTAATGTGAAAAGCTGTTTTCTCCTATAAAAATGCACAAGTAGAGGCTACTGTCAGCACTGTTGGATGGAGCATCCTCCCTCTGTACTGGTGTTAATCAGAAGTGACTTCAGACACCAGTGGTGTGAAATGTGTATATGAGGAGAATCAGACTTGTATTTTTAAGCCAGTGCATCCTGCCTGTAACACCTTAGGGCGTTTATAGATGTGCTCCGTGAGGGGGTGCGCTTTGATTAGCGAGCTATGCTAATTAAAAGCACCCGAGCTTCATGTGTATCAGCGTCCTTTCCCTGAACTGAAAAAATGGCGGTGGAGCACTTTGAACTCAATCTTGTTCAATGAGCTTCAGTTCAAAGAGTCCTACCATCATTTTTCAGCACGGGGATACTGATGCACGTGACACCGGAGGCTGCTGGAGCGCATTGATTTCTGTGATCCCGCAGAGTCTCCTCAGCACACTGGATTTACAGCACATCAGAGCAACCTCCTTGCATGTGTGTTGGTGCCCTCAGAGAACTGACTACTGGCCTGTAACTCTGGGTCTCCAGTAGCAGTCCCTGGGTAGAGTGAAAGAAAATCCCAGCTGAGAAGGGCAGAATGTACTCTGAGACCACAAGGCAAGGTGGTGTGGTAGTTGCGCTGCCACGGCAAGCTGTCTACACAAAGGGACTAGTATGGTAAGGCTAAAAAGGAGCCAGCTGTGTGTTTAGTGCTGTTGTGCATGTTCCTACAGGAGGATATATTGCTGTAAAAACTCAGAAACATATCAGAACACCCCAAATCGGAACAGGTGTGCCTGCTTCACATTTACCTAGGGTATCCAGGCTTAGGGGTCTGCAAGCTCCCTCCAGAGTCAGCTCATTGATGGCTTCACTGGAAGATGGATAATCAGACAGGTAGCCCTCTCTCGAATCGTGCTTGGAGGAGAAGTTCTGTTGGAAAAAGCCATGACTGTGAACCCGCTTTTACAGGGCTCTCTTTTTGGAATCATTAAGATACTCTCAACCCCCTAGGTTCTGCAGCCAGTAGCCAAGTGAACAGAGTTAAATGGTTAGGGGTAAAACTGTCTTGATCTCCATTTTGGCTTGTCCAGCACAGAACCACCTCATTTAAGCTGGCAGACTCAGTGGGAGAGAGAGACAGCCAGATCAACAAGCAGGGGACAAATGCCTTAGAGCTGGAGTCCAGGGTAAGGAAGAAACTTGTACTGCAGTGGCCCCTGGAGACCTCTGTTCTGCTGGACCCTGCATGTAATTAGTGAGACAGCCTCCATCCTGAAGAGTTCACTCTAAATAGGCAAAAGGTAGAAGGGCAAAGAGAAGGATCTTGTCAAGGTTACAGGTCAGGTCAGAACCAAAAGTATAACCCAGGTCTTGAGTCCCAGCTCAGGGCCTTACCCAGTGGACTACATCGACTGCCACAAAAGGCATACAAGGAGTGACTTACATTTGGGGAGAGGAAAGTGCTGTGATGAAGTTTAGAAGCACATCCCATTCACAGGATTGAAACAGACCACCTTAGATAGGTACAAGTTATTCCACCTTGGGGGTCTGTGATTCATGCCCTGTTTATTGTACATGCAGAACACCCTGCATGGAATGGCAGTTCTGTAGTCTACAGCAGACTTATGCCCAGTGTTAATCAGGAGTGAGCCATTAAAAAGCTCAGTGTGATTGTTTATGAAACTGGTGCTAAATTCATGTCAGCTCTCCGATTTCCTCTGGATGGATTGTGATGCACAGCTTTATTGGGCAGGAATCGAGTTATTTATCATGTGCAGGGATCACTTGATGATTCCCTCCCATCTTTCCCTTGCAGAAGGGGAAAGATGGATAGGGAGCAGCAGAAATAACTCTTAACTACAGTTAAGTACTTGCTATCAGATACAAACAAGAGGGGTGAGGAACTGGCATGAACAAAAGCTCAGGAATCAGCTTGTAGGGGACCAGTCCTCTTACAGAAGGCAACGGGAGTCTTGTGTAAGGACTGAATAAACTTAAGCATAGACTCCAGGATTCAGCTTTATTAATTACTATTGCGTGGAAAGCTCCCTTAGAACATAATAGATGACCCTGTTTCTAAAAAGTTTTTGACACTAGAA